TCTCTTAGAACAAAGAGAGGTGTAAGCCAGTGTGACCTTCCTTGGATTAGGCAATGGTTTCTTAGATAAGACACAAATCATAAACAACCAAAAAAATGGATAAATTGAACTTCATCAAAATTAAAATTTTTGTGCTTCAAAGGGCTATCTAGTAAGTGAAAAGACAACCCAAAGAATAGGAGAAAATATTTGTAAACCATATCTCTGATAAGAAATTAATATCCAAAATATACAATGAACTCTTGCAACTCAACAACAAAAATTCAAAAATGGGTAAAGAATTGGAATAGACATTTCTCCAAAGATGATATATAAACAGCCATAAAGCACATTTTTTAAATGTTCAACATCATTAGTCATTAGGGAAATGCAAATCAAAACCACAATGAGATGTCACTTCACATACACTAGAAAGGCTTTCATAATAAAAAACACAAAAGATTACAACGGTTGTCAAGGATGCCGAGGAATTAGATCCCTCATACATTGCTGGTAAGAATATAAAATGGTGCAGTCACTTTGGAAAACAGTGTGGCAGTTAAGAGGTGAGACCTTTTGGAGATGATTGGATCATGAGGACTCTGCCTTCAAGAATGGATTAATCCTTTCATGGATTAATGTATTAATGGGTTAATGGGTTATCACGGGAGTTGGTTAGCTATCAAGAGAGCAGGCCTGTATAAAAGCCAGTTTGGGCCGGACATGGTGGCTTACACCTGTAATCCCAGCACTTTAGGGAGGCCGAGGCAGGTGGATCACCTGAGGTCAGGAGTTCCAGACCAGCCTGACCAACATGATGAAACCCTGTCTCTACTAAAATTACATAAATTAGCCAGGTGTGGTGGCACCCACCTGTAATCCCAGCTACTAGGGAGGCTGAGGCAGGAGAATCGCTTGAGCCTGGGAGAGAGAGGTTGCAATGAGTTGAGATCACGCCACTGCACTCCAGTCTGGGCAACAGAGCAAGACTCCGACTCGGAAAAAAAAGCCAGTTTGGCTGTTAGTGTACCTTCTATCTCCATGTGATGCCCTCCACTGCCTCAGGACTCTAAAGAGTAGCCACTAGCAAGAAGGCCCTTACCAGATGCAGCCCCTCAACCTCGGACTTCCCAGCCTCCAGAACCATAAGAAATAAATTTATTTTCTTTGTAAGTCACTCAGTCTCAGATACTCAGTTATAGAAATAGAAGATTAAGATACCATATGACCGAGAAATTCCACTCCTAGGCATATAGGTAATACTCAAGAGAATTGAAAACATATGTTCACACAAAAACTTGTACACAAATGTTCATAGCAACATTATTCAAAATAGCCAAAAAGTGAAAACAACCCAAATGTTCATCAACTGTTAAGTGGATGAACAACAATGTGGTATATGCGTACATTAGAATATTATTAACCATAAAACGGAAGGAAGGAATGATATCTGCTACAACATGAATGGACCTTGAAAACATTGCGCTAAGTTAAGTTAGACATCAAAAGCCAGATAATGCATGATGCTGTTTATATAAAATGTCCATCATAGACAAATCTAGAGACAGAAATTGATGAGTAACTTCCAGGGATATGGTAGGGGGAGGAGTAACTGCTAATCGATACAGACTTTCTTTTTGAAGTGATAGAAATATTCTGGAATTAGATACTGGCAATGATTGCACAACTTTTTGAGTATACTAAAAGCCACTAAATTGTACACTTTAAAAGGCTAAATTTTATGGTATGTAAGTTGTATCTCCATTTTCAAGTCTATTTAATGAATCTGGCATAAGATAGGACCAGAAGGCTGGCCAGTAGAAGACACCTCACATCTCTGCTCTCCCCGTATGGCCCCAGTTGCAATCATCACTCAAGCGTACCATCACAACAGCCTCCTTGCTCTCTTCCCAAAACCTTGCCAGATCATGTCACTCGCCTTTGGGAGTTTCCCACTGTCCACGTGTATTAATCATGCCTTTTCATTTTCTGTATTTTCTGATTTTTTGACATCTGAGGCCTTTCTGATTCTGGAGAGATTGCCCCTCCCAGGAATAGCCAATTCCTAGGGACAGTAAAGGGCTTGCCTGCAAGTGCACCTTCATATGCAAACCATTCAATCGGAAGCCCATCCCACAACTACCTCCCTTGTTGGGCTTTCACACTCTGAGCCACTGTCTCCCTGCCTTAATCACCCCACAGCCAGATGATGCAAAACTAGAGATAGCCCCTACACCCAAGAGCTCACTTTAGTTATTTACACTGGCCAATCCTAAGCCTGCCTAGCCTGCCTCTCCTTACCCTTCCCCAGGAAATCACAATAAACACTCTTGCCCATGTTTTTGCCCATGTTTTCCCCCACTCCCTCTGCCTCCTGACCCACCCTGGCGCTTCCCCATGTGGCCCTGCATGGCCTGCCGTGTCTCCTGTCTCTAGGGACCTGTGAGTAAAAACATCTTCCTTTACAAGCCTCATTTCTAGGCCTGCATACCCAAATAAAACAAATCCCAGGCACATAAGCACCGCCCTCTAAACTTAGCTCCACCTCCCCTTTCCCACCTAGCTTCTCACCAACCTGACACTCCCCAAACTCTCACCACCCCACACTTCCTAGGCATGACATGTTCCTTTGTCACCAAGCCTTTGCCCATGCTGGAGCCTCCACCTAAGTCCCCTTCCCAGTCTTTTTGCTTATTCCTGTGTCACCAGCAAGCCTCACCTCATGATACCCCTTCTGGAGACCCACTAGGACAACCACGTTGTATGTGCCACGTCCTCCCTCCAAGCCCTTAGTCTATGTATCTGTCTGCTGCTCTTCTTGATGAGTTTCTACAGGATGAGGACTGTGATTCCTCATCCCTGGATCCCCAGGGCTTAGCACAGAGCCAGGAAATTATTGGCAACTCAGTAAAGGTAGAATATGAGACAAGGTCACACCCTGTTACCCAGGCTGCAGTGCTGTGGCACAATCATGGCTCACCGCAGCCTCAACCTCCTGGGCTCAAGCAATCCTCCCACCTCAGCCTCCCGAGTAGCCAGAACTACAGGTGCATGCCACCACCATGCCTAGCTAATACTTTTTATTTTTTTGTAGTGACAGGGTCTCATATTGCCCAGGCTGGGCTTTTATTTTTTTAATACAAGAAATATCCCTGGCCAGGCGCGGTGGCTCACGCCTGTAATCCCAACACTTTGGGAGGCCAAGGTGGGTGGATCACCTGAGGTCAGGAGTTTGAGATCAGCCTGGTCACCAGTAGAGACTGGTGAAACCCCGTCTCTGCTAAAAATACGAAAATTAGCTGGGCATGGTGGTGGGCACCTGGAATCCCAGCTACTCAGGAGGCTGAGGCAGGGGAATCACTTGAACCTGGGAGGTGGAACTTGCAGTGAGCCAAGATCTCACCATTGCACTCCAGCCTGGGTGACAGGGCAAGACTCTGTCTCAAAAAAGAACAGCAACAACAACAAAAGAAATATCCCGAACAGGCAGGTAAGCTCTTCAAGGATGAAGCCTAACTTACCCTCTAAATTCTTAGCAGGACTGAGCACACAGACGGGCCCCAGTAAAGGCTGATGGGGTGGCTGAGTGAACAGAAATGACGACTGAGCAAACCAGCAGTGGGAAGAGGTGGGTGGGGAGGCACAACTGGTCTCCCTGCCTGAGGCACAAGCTCTACTCACACTGTTCTTCCCACTCTCGCTCCTCTCTCTCACTGGCTTGGCAATGCAGCTGAGCCTGCTTCAGGGTCCAGTAGAGCTCCTTTGCCCTCTGCTCTTCCTGGAGGCGAATCTGCTCTTCTCCTCGCTTCCTCTCCTCTTCCTCTTTCCTCTGAAATGTCATGGGGACAGAACAACACGAGATGACCACAACATTTCAGAAAAACAAGAAAGAAATACCTCTGGGATTCTGCAGTGGGTGGGGCTGAGAGTGCAGCAGTGGCCTCTCCAGCCTCAGTCCCTACATGTATGAAATTGAAATTACCCAGGAGTCCCATAGACAGTTGTTTTGGATAAGCACATAAATTGTCCCTTCTGGTCTTAAAGCTTGAAACTTCTATTTGTTTTATTTGAATTGCTTCCTCAGGAAAGGATCCCTCAGGCCTCCCAAAAAGTATCAAATTACTGAAACTCACCAGATCACCACAACCAGACTATGAGACGCCTGACCCCTCAATGAGATGATTGCTTCCTAGCTCCTCCCTAGTTCCTGTTTTTATACACATTGTTACATTTCTTACCTGCTACATAAACCCCTAGTTTTAGTCAGTTAGGGAGATAGAGATGGATTTGAGGCTGAGCTCCCATCTCCTGTGCTGCAGCACCTGATTAAAGCCTTCCTGCTGGGCAATACTCATCATCTAGGTGATTGCCTTTCTGTGCCGCAAGCAGCAAGACCTGGATGGAACCCTGGTGTTTTAGTAATAAAGTGGTGGTGATCATGCCACCCAACTGACAAGGTGGTGGTGAGGAGAAAATGGGTGGAAACAGGTGGAATGCCACAGACTACTACACAGCCATAAAATAGAATGAAGTCATGTCCTCTGCAGTAACATAGATGCATCTGGAGGCTGTTACAGTAAGTGAAAGAACACAGAAACAGAAAACCAAACACTGCATGTTCTCACTTATAAGTGGAAGCTAAACACTGGGTACTCATGGACATAAAGATGGGAATGACAGACACTGGGGATTACTCTAAGTGGGAGAGAGGGAGAAGGGGAATGACTGAAAAAGTGCCTATTGGGTACTATGCTCACTACCTGGGTCATGGGTACAATCATAACCCATACTTCATCATCACACAACATACCATTGTAACAAACCTGCACATGCACCTCTGGAATCTAAAATAAAAGTTAAAAAAAAAAGAAAAAAAAAAGGCTGAGCACCGTGGCTCACGCCTGTAATCCCAGGACTTTGGGAGGCCGAGGCGGGCGGATCACCTGAGGTCAGGAGTTCAAGACCAGCCTGACCAACATGGAGAAACCCCATCTCTACTAAAAATACAAAATTAGCCAGGCGTAGTAGCGCTTGCTCGTAATCCCAGCTACTAGGGAGGCTGAGGTAGGAGAATTGCTTGAACCCGGGAGGAGGAGGTTGCGGTGAGCTGAGATCGTGTCATTGAACTCCAGCCTGGGCAACAAGAGCAAAACTCGGTCTCAAAAAAACAAACAAACAAAAAAACAGAAAAAATAAGATCCAGTTAACTCAGGAGGCACAAGAATGGCTTGAACCCAGGAGGCAGACGTTGCAGTGAGCCGAAATCGTGCCACTGCACTCCAACCTGGGAAGGAAGGAAGGAAGAAAAGGACGGAAAGGACGGAAAGGAAGGAAGGAAGAAAGGAAAGAAAGGAAGGAAGAAAGAAAGAAGGAAAGAAGGAACGAAAGGAAAGAAAGAAATGTGGAACAATGTGTTAACTCCACATCTTACTGCAGAGGTAAGAGGACTCTGTGCCATCCTGGCTGGGCGCGGTGGCTCACGCCTGTAACCCCAGCACTTCAGGAGGCCAAAGCGGGCAGATCACCTGAGGTCGGGAGTTTGAGACCAGTTGGCCAACATGGTGAAACCCCATCTCTACTAAGAAATACAAAAATACAAAAAATACAAAAATACAAAAATTAGCCGGGCATGGTGGCGTACACCTGCAATCTGAGCCACTCAGGAGGCTGAGGGAGGAGAATTGCTTGAACCCAAGAGGTGGAGGTTGCAGTGAGCTGAGATCGCACCATTGCACTCCAGTCTGGGTGACAGTGCGAGACTCCATCTTGTAAAAAAAAAAGAAAGAAAAAAGAAAGAAAGAAAAAGAGGACTCCGTGCCATCCTTAGGTGTACTTTCATTTTGGAGGAAGAGGGAGGAAGGACACAGTGAGGGGCGCCTGGTCTCTTCCTGAAAGCCCGTGAAGCAGGGTATGATTATGTCTTAACCTTAAGTCTGGATAAAGTATCTTAAAGAGAAAGTATATTTGAGGGCCCTAAATCTCCCATTTCTGTCCCACTCCTGAGCTCTAAAAAGGTTGTGTCTGTGTGTATTTTCTTCTACCTTTGTTTACATCAAAGTAATATGTATGTGCTAAATATGCATTATGGACCACAGGCTGCTAATGAAAATCAGCAGTCTCTAAATAACTTCACCAGAACCCAATCCAACCAAACTTAAACCAATGCTGGAGGCCACCATTTTCAACTATGTTAGCTGTTCCTTTGTTGGGCTATGTCCACAAGTCTGATTAATGCTGCTAATCCTTGGTTTATCAATTTATCAATCTAGATGTTAAATCTTGCCTTTCTTTTTTGGCACATGCATATTTAGCACTTACATTTCCCACAGGTGAACACCCATACTCCATACTTTTTCTCTCCTCAGCCTCACAATAAATTTGCCTCATAATTTGTGGTTAAATCAATAATCAGCATCAAAATAGTTTGCTGCAAAGCCAAATAACATGCTATTTTCATCAATTCCAAAAAGTACATTTTTTTTAACTTTGTAACATCTCTGAAATTTGGATGTGTTTTACAACTTACTGCTTGCTTTTTAATAAGCAACAATTTTTTCCTCTTAAATAATGATATCTTTTGCTATTAATGGTAACTTAAATTCAGTAAAATATGCTAGGTATGGAAGCCTTTTCTTTCCAGTCCTTTTTTCTGGTTTTTCCTGGGTTAATACATCTCGAAGCTGAATATTGAATTTTCCCAAATTTTTCCCAGATGTAGTAAGTCATTCTCTGTGTTTAACCAAGTGCTTTTTCTTATAACAGACAATACAAAAGTTATTTTTCCAAGGGACACGCCACCCCGGGTGCCATCTTTTTTTCTCCCATCTGCACTGGTTACCACCTAAGCCTCCTCTCCATCCACCCACCAACGACACACCTCTCAACCTTCCTTGAGTTGGAGCCCCTGCTTCTTTCTTGAACACTCCGCCATTTTGCAGCAACATTTAGCACTTCTCAGCTAAGAATGCATAGAGACACTTTCTGAGTCTTGTCTGAAAATGTCTATATGCCACACTTACATGTAACTGCCAATTTAGCTGAGCACAGAATTTGATTAAAAATAATTTTCCTGCAGAATTTTAAAGACTTCTTTGTCTTCTATCATCCAGAACTACCATTCTGATTCTCATTCTTCTGCACAAGGCATTTATTTTTCTCTCTGGAAGCCCCTGAGGTCTCTTTAACACCAACGTTCCGAACTTTTTAATATGATGTGCCTTGGTGTGGATTTTCTTGCACTGATTGTGTTGGACACTTGGGGGTACTTTCAGTCTGTAGCTTTTTATCTTTCCAGCCTAATTCATCTTTGCTTAGGATTTCTTTGATAATTTCTTCTCTTCTCAATTCTTGTTTTTCCTTATAGAGCTCCTATTTGTCAGATAACGGTTTTCTTGAGTTGATCTTCTAACTGCCTTATCGTTTTCCTCTCTTGCTTTCCATCTGTTGTCTTTTTTTTTTTTTCTTCTTCTTTTTTTGAGATGGCGTCTCACTGTCGCCCAGGCTGGAGTGCAGTGGCACAATTTTGGCTCACTGTAACCTCCACCTCCCAGGTTCAAGCAATTCCTCCCGAGTAGCTGGAATTATAGGCACATGCCACCACACCTGTCTAATTTTTGTATTTTTAGGGAGACGGGGTTTCACCACATTGGCCAGGCTGGTCTCGAACTCCCGAACTCAGATGATCCGCCCGCCTCAGCCTCCTAAAGTGCTGGGATTATAGGCGTGAGCCACTGTGTCCAGCTCCATCTGCTGTCTTTTTTGTTCTACTTCCTGGTTGATTTCATTGACCTTATCTTCCAAACCTTCTACTGAGTTTTTTATTTCAGCTATCACATGTGTAATTTCCAAGCTCTCATTCTTATTCTTTGGTTGTTCTTTTCTCTTCATTGCATCTTGCACTTGTTTTATGAATGCGATAACTCATTTCTCTGAGGATTTTAGAGCTTTTTCTTCCCACGTACTCTGATTTAGGTCTGTTTCCTCTGTGTGCGCGTGTGGTTTTTTTAAGTTTGATCTGGTGCCTGTCATACATGTGAAAGGTTTTCCTCAGCTGTCTGATGTTCCCTGACTATTCATATTCAAAAGAGAAGTAAATATCTGAATAGGAAACTCAGAGAGCATGCTCCAGGCTTCATTGAGAGAAGGACTTTGCTCTAGGGCAATCGTAGGAGGAACCAGCCATGTTGCAGGACTCTCAGATGCAAGTACCTAGAGGCCCTTTCTCTGAGATTATTCAGTGTCTTCTCCTCTGTCCTTCCTGGGTGGTATCATCCGCAGCATTCCAGGAATTGGAGGGGAGCAGACTGCAGGCAGGACTGCCCACAGCAAGCAAGGCTCCTGGCCTAAGCCCCATGCTTCACAGAAACCCATGCTTTAAAGCACCTTCTTGTAAATGTCCTCCTCAAGTCTCCCCTCAGGACTGGCCAGAAATAGTCAGACCCCCAGGGTGTCCAACTAAGGTGCCCTAGGCCCAGAATAGGTTCTACATGAGCCTGACTCCCTGTTTCTTTCCTTCAGGGTGCTCTCTGATCATCTCCCTTATCAAGGGATTGAGCAGATGTCCCAAAGAACTCCAGGATTCCTATTTATGAAATCATCCTGGGCCCCAGTGTGGGGGTCCTGGTTCCAGAAGGGTAGCGTAGCAAACAGATGAATCCTGCAGGCCAGCACAGTATTTTTAGCACAGGATCACATGAGATTGGGTCACCAGAATAGTGCTAAAAGGCTGATTTTATGTGACTCAGATTTTTAATATAAACAAAGACTGCAAAGGGAAATATTTGCCAGCTCTGTATACCCTAGGGGCAACCCTGGCTGCAGGTCCCACCA